CCCCCCCCCCCCCCGCACAGGGCAGTGGGGGGCATCTGTTCAGTGCTGGGGAGGGAACTCTTCCCTCTCCTCCTCCCTCCCACCACCAGGTAGGGAGGGGTGGCTCTTGTGGCACTCCCTGGCCTGGCCCAGCCAGGGCACAGAGAACAGCTTTAACAGAGCCGCAGCTCCTGGGGGTGGCCTTGGACCCACAGCCTGGCTCAACTCATCTCTGACTGGCCTGGCCTTGCTCAACCCTGGCTAATGCAATCGCTTGGTGGGGTTGGGCTGGGCAAGGCCAGGCCACGGAGGCGGGGCCACCCCTGGAGGGTGCAGCTCAGTGACAGGGAGGCAACCTGCTTCCCCTGTCAATGAGCACAGCCTGGCTTGCCTGGCTTGTGGCTGGCCAGGCAGTTGCTTATCCAGGCCTGCTTGGAGGCAGCATGGACCTGGAGCCCGGCAGCCACCCACCACGGAGGCTTGCTGAGGCTCTGCAAGCCCCAGCAGTGCCTCCGAGTGGGCCCAGATAAGCGCTGCCTGGCCAGCCACTTGCCACACGTGCTAGGCTGCATTCACTGACAGGAGAAGCAGCTTGCCTCCCATCACCAAGCTGCATCCACTGGGGGTGGCCTGGCTCTACCTAGTGCTGCCTTACCTATGGCTGAGTGAGGCCAGGCCAGGCCAGGCAGAGCCGAAATGGGGCTGGGGCCCTCTGTGGCAGCTATCTCCATTAGAGCCACTTCCTGTGCCCTGGCTGGGCTGGGGAGCAGTGCAAGAGCTGCTCCTCCCCACACTGCTTGCCAGCACTTCCAGGTCCAGTAGCCCAGAGCCAGCATGGGGCAGCTGCAGCAGATGCCAGCAATGGGAAGGGGCGGGGCTGGTTTTGCCCTGTACCGGCTTCAGGCTCATCCATCTGGGCCTAGCAGAGGTGGTGGGGGAGAGTTGGCTGCTCAGTGTGGGGCAAAAGTGCGCCGTTCCCCTCCCTCTGCCAGTGTCTACTGTAGCTGCCCAGTGCCAGCTCCGGGTGGTTGGACCTGGAAGTGCCAGCAGCACAGCGGGGAGGGTATTTTCCTCCCATGCTGAGCAGCCATTTCTCCCCTGCCGTCACCACTCAGCCCAGATGGGTGAGCCTAGATCCAGCACGGGGTGTGCAGGGTCAGGGCTGTGCATGCTGGTTGTTGCCTGTACCATGGGACTAGGGTCAGTGGCAGCAGCAAAGGAGCTGCTGTGGCTGGGGTGCCGAGAAAGGCAGTTCCGCCATGGACAGCCCCAGACCCGCTGCATGCCCAGGGATTGGCACCTCGGACTGGCAGGACTGAGGGACCTGCCAGGGACCAAACAAAGCCCCTCCACAGACCAGAAGTGCACAACCAATGGCATCTGGCCGTGACCCCACCTGGCCACTGGACCAGTGAGGAACAACCACGATGGGGTAGGAGCCCCTTTCCGGTGGATGGGGTTGGGGGTGTACTGCAGGATGAGGAAAGGGGCCACAGTGGCAACATTGGGGTCTCTGGTCTTCTTTGGGCCCCAGTGCTGCTGTGTGCTGCCCTCTGCAGCTCTGCCTGCTCCACAGTGGGGCCCCCACTGGGAAGGTGCTCGTGCTGCCAGACCTTGACAGGCTCCTACCGTCACCAAGGGCTCTGCCCCCTCCTGTTGCAGTGGCCTGGTGGGGGGCACAGCCAGCCCATAGGCCCCTTTGGGGGGGGGCAGGGATGGGGGTTATTCCCCCTCCCTCCCTCGTCCTGTGGGAGGAACTGTAGGGTCAGGAACTGTAGGGTCCTATTCTGCTGCAGGGAGCGAGCATGGTGGGAACTGGGGGAGGGAAGACCCAGCTGCCAGTAAGGATAGAGGGGAGACTACCTCCCCTCCCCCCGCCCCCGGCTCCTGCCTCAAGAGCCATGGTGCCTGCTGCAGCAATGAGGGAGGAGCACCCGGCAGACCTGGCTCAGGTGCCTGCCAGTGGCACAAGGATGAGGGAATTAAACCCCTCTCTGGCCAGTTCAGCCTAGACTAGCTCTAGCGCCCCTGGCACCTGTCCTGAGCAACTGCCGGGATGTGCCTGCATGTTTGTTCTGTTACAAACCGGTTCACTCTCTGCAGGTTAGACTAACCTGCAAAGGTTGAATCAATTCAGGCTCCGGCTTTTTGAATGTCTGTCCCTAGCCTAATAGAGTGTCTGGTTGCATTTGGGTTCACTATCTAATCCATTCCTGATCTGCTCTGCCTGACCTACTGGCTGCAGGCTGTACTATTCAGAATTTTCACATTTTCCATAAAAACGCCTACATGCAGCATTTTAGTATCACTTCCAAAAATGAACATTCTGTATAACATCTGGAAGAGTACAGGACTGCATAGGGATGAAATGATAAAATGTGTCAACGAAACTGTCAGACATAGCTCTCCCCTGTTTTCTTTTATAGGGGAAAGAAAAGGATTTTTCTTATTGTACTTACTAGGTCTGGGACATACATTAACATGTTCTGTTCTGTTTCCCCACTCCCCTTATATCACTGATATATATTTACAACCTTAACAGTAGCTTAAATATTTTTTCTATCCGTTGATTGATATCTTTGGCGCATTGTTTGTTTTTCTCAGTGGTGGGTGCTGGAAAAATCTCAGTGCTGCTGCTGATTATAATTAAACACAGCACTATAAATGTTGCACAGTGTTTTACAAATGTAAAATAAGATGGTTCCCTTAGTGCTTTAGACAGTACTGAATAGAGTATCCCTCTCTCTCCCCCTTGCATTTTCCAGGACTTTACATTGAGTTAATGTCTCTTGCATGGGTGCACTGGGAGAAGCTCTGACCTCAAAGCCCCCTTTACATCCATACAGTGGTAATCATAATCCTGCCCTAAATGTGATATGTCTGTTTTGGAATAAAATGTCAGGCTCTTAAATACCACAATGTAAGTGTAGTACAAAGCTGTAAGCAAATATATAAAATAAGGAAACGCAGATTGAGACACTGATGTTACTGTTTTATGGACAGCACTTCAGGAGCTTAGCAGTCATTGCCAGGACTTCCAGAAGAGCTTCTGCAATGGGGGTCAAGTGCCTAACTGTGTTAGAATTCTCTGACTGCCTTGTTCAAATAACAAGAAAAAAGGTTGAAAAATTCATTTAATAAAATTACTTGGATTATTATTTGTTTAGTTAGCAAAACCACTTTATTAGACTTTTGTACATGATGGCACTATAATGTCATTATATTTTGAAATGTTATATATAATCCCAAAGTGCAGTGATCTGAGGGCCCTGGCAGACATTACATTGCTGATGTGATTAACTTGTTAATCTCACCATAATAGTAACCTTTACACGCTTTCAGGGAATTAATGATGTGACCAAATAAGAAGCCAGCTACCAAAATGTTCCACAAACCATGTTCAACACTTCTGTGGCTGGTTTCAGTTGCACCTTAAATTGAATGTGTGGCAAGGTAACCATACTAAGCTGTCAGATGCCAACTGCATGCCAGGGTTTGTTTGACAGTCACAAGGTACAGACCCGGTAATGTGCTTCTCCCCATCAGCAAGCTGTCAGTTGTATAGTGCATTCCAGCAGCAGTTTTCAAGGTGCCAAGGTGTGGGGAGCTTATCAGGTGAGTTGGAGTGTCCTTACCTGTATCAATAAGCTCTACCAGTCTTGGGAACTATATGGGCCAACCAGAAGAAATGCCCTCCTAGATTTAGTTTTGGCCAAGGGGAACAACCTGGTAAGTGATCTGATGATAGAGGGTAACCTAGGCAACAGTAACGACAGCACTGTCACTTTCATTGTCTGTCATAGGGCTGGGAAATCTGTCAGTAAGGTACAAATTCTTGAATTATAAAACCTGACTTCAATAAGCTAAAGACTTTAGTGACTAATGCCCTACAAGATCATGGGCTGCAGGGAAAGAGTGTGGATGATGAGTGGTTGTTTCTCAAAGACATAATCCTCGGTGCACAGAAGTTGTCTATACCTGTATGCGAAAAAGGTGGCACAGGGGCTGGGAGGCCATCTGGGCTCAATAGGAAGTTGCAGATCTTCTGAAAAAGAAAAGGGAGGCTTACCAATGAAGAAAATTGGGAATAGGTCCCAAGGAGAACTACATAAGATTGGTCCACACCTGTAGGGGGCAGAATAGAAAAGAAAAGGTGGTCCCTGAATTCAGGCTAGCAACCAAAATCAAGGGCAATAAGAAGTTCTTCTATAGGTACTTAGGTAACAGGATGAAAATCAGTGGAAGCATGGGACCACTGCTCAGTGCATCTGGATGTCCAAACACCAACACCAAGGAGAAAACTGAACTCCTGAACAAGTACTTTACATCTGTATTCCACCAGTCTAAGAGTGATAGCCTGCTGAATGCAAATATGACACAAAATAGTCAGAGTATGGATTATCATCTACCAGCAGTCTATGTAGAGATGGTGAAAGAATAGCTAGACAGACTGGATATCTATAAATCAACAGGACTGGATGACCTCAATCTGAGAGTGCTGAACAAACTAGCCTAAGTCACTGTTGGACTGCTGGCGAAACTCTTTGAGAATTCGTGGCACTTAGGTGAGGTCCCAGAAGATGGGAAGAGGGCCAGTGTTGTGCTCATCTTCAAGAAGGAGAGGAGAGAGGACCCAGGGAACTACAGGCCAAGCAGCCTGACTTCAATGCCAGGAAGAATTCTCGAAAAATTTCTTGATGAGTCCATATGCGATAAGCTAGTAGAAGGCAAAATTTTGAACAACAGCCAGCATGGTTTTGTCATGGGTAGGTCATGTCTGACTAACCTCATACCCTTGTGTGACCAGGTTATTCACTACCTAGATAAGGGAGAGGAAGTTGACATCATTTACTTGGACTTTAGGAAGGCCTTTGACTTAGTGTCCCATGAGGATCTCAGGGCAAAAGTAGGGGAATATGGGCTCAACAATTCAATGGTCAGATGGGTGGGAAACTGGCTGTGGGGTTGGAGCTAGAGAGTACTAATAGACAGATCTGTGTTGACCTGGAGGAAGGTGCCAGTGGGGTTCTCTAGAGTTTGGTACTTGGCCCAGTGCTTTTCAACACTTTCATCAATGACCTGGATGTGGGGGTGAAAAGCACACTGGCAAAGTTCACTGATGACATGAAGCAAGTGCGGCCATGCATCAGGGTAACATAATGATCCAGGTAGACCTAGACAGATTAGTTAGATGGGCAGACCAGAACCAGATGCTGTTCAACACTGAGAAGTGCAAAATGCTCCATCTGGGGAAGAAAAATCCACAACAAACTTACAGGCCAGGTGGTGCTATGCTAACTAGCACCATGTCCAAAAGGGACCTGGGGGTCATAATTGACCATAAAATGAATATGAGCCACCAGTGTGATGCTACAGTTAGCAGAGTAAACAATACGCTGGCATGCATCAACTGATGGATCTCAAGCAAAACTAAGGAAGTTATTCTCCTGCTTTACTCAGCATTGGTGAGGCTGCAGCTGGAGTACTGTGCCCAGTTTGGGGCACCACATTTCAAGAAGGATGTGGAGAAGCTTGAGAGAGTCCAATAAGAGCCACTCTTGTGATTAGAGGCATGAAGAGCAAGCCGTATGAAGAAAGGCTGACAGATATGGGACTTTGTAGCCTAGAAAAGAAAAGACTTTGGGGGATTTGGTGGCAGCTTATAACTATATCAGGGGAGAGCATTAAGGGCTAGGCAAACAACTATTCACCAAAGTGCCCCAGGGTAAAACCGGGAGCAATGGTCATAAACTCCTAGAAGAAGGTTTCAGATGGGATATAAGGAAAAACTTCTTCACTGTTCATGTGACCAGACTCTGGAATAGACTCCCAGTGGGGGTGGTGCAGGCACCTACCCTGGAGATCTTCAGAAGGAGACTGGGTGTGCACCTTGCTGGAGTTATTTGACTCCAGCAGTCTTTCCTGCTCAGAGCAGGAGGGCTGGACCCAGTGATCTCATGGGGTCCCTTCTAGCCCCAAACTTCTGTGAATCTGTGTGAACCTATGTGCTCATTGCCTGCTTTGCTTTGCCCTGGAACTCACAAGGAAGCTGCCCTGCAGCTCCTGAAACATGCGGTGGGTCTCATTTTGATCCCGAATGTACCTTGTTCTTTGGGTCTAGAGGGAGCTGCAGGGCTAGGCTGCCAATCAACCAGGCTCGTTTGTGCCCAGCTGGCCTACTAGGCCCAGGGGAGGTTTAAACTCTCTGGTCGGGGGGAGCCCCTGAACTCCCCTCAGTAGGAACCTTGCTAACCCCAATTGTCTTGCAAGATTCCCATTTAAATAATGACATGATTATTAGAATTGGGGTCTGATCCATGTCATGCATATGTGGCTAGTAAGATGTGATTATTGGGCTTGGGGATCAGATCCCATTGTGCCATTATTTTAATGTCTGCTAGGGGCCTGACTCCCTTTGCATTAATTGATTCTTGGTTCTAACTTTGGAGATTATAAAATTCACTGTCACTTGTGAATTCATATTATGAAAAAGGAAAAAGCTACTTTAGTGGTTTTTCTATCACTGAGTCTGAAATTGGTTTGTTTACCTTTTCATCTTTGAGAGTAATGTTGGCTGACTTAAAGCAAACCTGATTCTAGGTTACTCTGACATGTTGACCTAAATTAAATGATGTAGATATAATGATATTTTAATGAATGCAATTGAGTTAGATACAATAGTAGAAAAAGCTTCCTTTCTAAATGTATTCTTTATGAACAAGAATAACAACAGTGAAAAATCTGTTTCTGAAACTGGAATGACTAAATATGGCACAGCAACATTTTTTTTTTTTCTTGCTTTATTATACTTGGTTATGTTAATCCTTTGAAACTCTCATTGATTGAACATGGGTTTTTTTGCCTGCTGTATACAAACTGTTTTCTGACTCTGTTCCGACTATTAAACTGATGGATCTCAACTGACTTGAATTAATTTATTCCTAATATATATAGCAGCATCTTAATATATTGGCAAGAATGAAATCAGGCTGGCTAGTGTTTCATGAAGTGTGCATATATATTTTTAAATACTTGTGAAAATACAGTTCAAATTTTGAACTTAGTAAAGTGAATTTTCAGATAAGCCATTTGTAAGTCTTATCTAAAAAGCAGCAGAAAAATGTAACCGCATGTTAAATATATCTGTATTTTAATGCAAGTCCCCCAGTGACCTTTGCCTCTGTACTTGAGCTCATTCTGTCAGGCACAGGTAAAAACAACGTTTGGGTTTGCCATTCTTTTATTGGATTTGAAGTCTTGCCAATCTCTGGAATAACTTTTTGGTCACTCACAAACGAATTTAACTTGCCTCTTCTCCCTCCCCACTCCCTATTATTAGTTTTCATAGATTTCAGTGGGAAGGGACCTATTAGATCATCAAGTCTGACTGCCTGCCCTGGGTAGGAAAGAGTGCTGGGGTCAGATGACCCCAGCCAGATGTTTGTCCAATCTCCTCTTAAGTACGTCCAAGGAAGGGGACAGCACCACCTCCCTTGGAAGCATATTCCATATCTTGGCAACCGTCACTGTAAAGAATTTTTTCCTGATGTCCAATCTAAATTTTCTCTCCTTCAGTTTGTGGCCACTGTGTTTAGTTACCCTGATGGGCGCCCTTGTAAATATCGTATCCCCTATTTCCTGCTGTCCCCCTCTGAGTTTGTAGATTGGCCACAAAATCACCTCTCAGCCTTCTCTTGTGGAGGCCAAAGAGATTCAGGTCCCTCAGTCAGTCCTCATACGGTTTTTCTTGTAGGCCTTTAATCAGGCCTTTAATCTTCTCCCCACATTTAGGGGAAAAAAGTAATTTAGTTGAAATTCAAACAAGCATATTTTTTTTTCTGGTTAAAGAGGAATCTAATTTTTCCATTAAAGTTAGAATAACCCCCCAGAAGCTAGGGAGTTACAAGCAAGGTTCTTGCATATCATTTTATACACTTTATAATATTTATTTTACATTTTAGTTTGCTTTTCTTCTTCTTTGTTCCCTGTCACCTACTCCATTTTTTTTTTTTTTAACTTTCTCCCAATGGGTGTAATTCATCCTTACAGAAGGGGAAAATACAAATTCTGTGGATCACTTAAGTCCTCAAAGCTGAGCTTAACTAGGATGTAAAGGATCATAGTCCTGGACTAGTTGGTGCAAGCTTGATGTACAGAACCATTTCCAAGAAAAGTTCATGCTACATGTCTTCAGGATATTAGATAAAAAAAAAATTCTTATCATGTATATTAGTGTTCTTTAATTTCCCCCCACTTCTATCAGTTTATCTTCAGCAGAAAACACTATTACTAGTTGAGGCCTATGCTGTCCTGAGTGCCGTATCCTTTGACTTTGTGCAGGAATCTTGCCCAAACGTCATTGAAGATGCACCTTCCGTTGGAGAGCTTGGTATCTCAGTTCTCCTGTATTTATGTTGAAATAACTTCATTGCCATTTGAATGTGTCAGACTTTGAGCCTTCTTTTTCCAATGCTTCTCTCACATATTGCAGGCTGTAAATTAAGTGTACCAGTATTTCTGTCTTTCAAGTATTAAAACTTACATTTTTTTCCAGGGTCAAATCTTGGGCCCCACTGTTTTTGCTGTTTACTGTTTTGAGACAAACAAGGCTTATTACTAGAAGTGGCTTTTTGCATCCCAACTTATTCCATGAAAGCATCCCACAGGACTGCCAACAAAGAACTCAGAGCAGGAGCTGCTAGGGCTGCTAATTTTCATGGCACAAGAAGCTATATAATGAACATATTATGCCAGAGAAGTTTTCCCACCCTCTGCTGAGAAATCGGACCATTTCTAGTTTTGTACTTTGCAATATGTATGCAATATTTTTTGCACATGGAATATTGTGTTTAGTTCTGGCTTTCATCTTACTATAAATATATTGACAAATTGGGCAAGAGTTCTGAGGACAGCAACAAAAATAATGAGGAGGGGTTGGAAGGACTAACTTTTGAGAATTTTTTTAAGACCTGAATATGGATGGCGTGGCTGACATTTATAGGGTGGCTGAGATTAATTGTATATCAAACAGTTATTGATGGATTTGCATGAAGAGTCCCGTTAAAATCAGTAAAATGACTTATGCGAGTAAAGATCAAACCTTGATAACGTGTGGCAGAGATGCAACAGTATCCCAATATTTGAAGGTTCTAAATGCCAGTGAAGGAGAGGGATAAAACACCTTGATATACAGGGGTGCAACTAGGGGTGGGTCCACACACCAAACAGATATTACTGCATCTTCCTACTGCTGGTATCAATGTTAGCTATATTACACCAGTGCATGGTACAATCATGCCCTCCTTTGGCTGGATGGACAAACCATATAGGGCTAATAGGATGAAAGTTCAAAAGAGAACACTGAGGTTGAATAATAGAGAAATCTTCTTGGTGATGGATATTTTAGGTGGAAGAATGTCTTCCTTTAAAGGAGTATTATGGTTTAGGACTTTTTAAATTTAGACTGGAGAAAGTAGGGCAAAATGTCTGCTGAAGAGAACAGCTGTGTATTGATAGGGAGGGAAATGACTTGTATAATTTAATTGTTTTCAGCTTAAACTTCTGTGATTCAATATGCAAGTGTATTAATCAATAATTATTAGATATAGTAATTATAGAGTTCAGCACTTGCTCCATAATGTCACAGGACTGATAGAGATGTTCCCCTGTTCCCATGTTTCCAATGTATGCTGAACTATCAGAGGGCCAAACTGCCAATACAGAAGCACTTTTTTCCTTTTCTCTGGTTAATGGATACTAGGCAGATAATCTATCCATCCCAACAGCACATGGGAAGCAAATCCTGAGCAATGAAAATGTAAAAGTAAAATATTGTTCAAAGGTCTGTATTGAAATTCCTTCAGTAAGAAGCAGCTGTATGTTCCATAAGCTCAAAACTCATTTAAAGGACTGACTACACTTTCACATCTGGCACAGTCATTTGCCCCTTGAAACTGCATGATTACGTGGTGTTACTTCACTTTTGACACCATTTAATCAAACAGTTTCAGCTGCAAACGCTGCTTGGGGTTAAGTCATGGAACATTAGCTTGAATTGTAGATCCCATTCGGATTATACAAATGCCTACATTTTTAAAGTAATAGTATGGGGATTTATCCTTGGAGCTCCTTGTGATCATAACAAGAGTCACATAATGAAATCTCTCTCTCTCTCTCAATATAGGAGAAACTGATCAAGCTGAATCTCAGAAAACACGTGACTAGAAATAGTTTATCTTTCCTAATCAAATAACCTGTGGTTTGGCAGCTAATTTGGAAAACCTTCAGTTCATACAAAATATCCACAGTATCTTTTAAGTCTGTAGTTCTGCTATCTACTGGACATGTCTACATGTGCAATTAATGTGCATGAATAAGCTTGGAAACATATTGCTCTGGAGTTGATTGCTCCCAGGCACTGCATCTTCACGTGCGTCCAAGACTGCAGCATGTTAAGCCAGGTTGGAGCAGCCCTAGCTGGCAGAGGGCCCTGTGGGTCAGCCAGCTCATGGCTATTCCACCCTGGCTCAACATCCTACAGAGGAGCACAAGGGTGCTTCAGCGCATGGCCAGCCAGCACCTGCACTGAAGTGCTCTGGTGCCCCAGCCAGCTGAGGCAGCATCTACACATTTTTACAAGTAGTATCCTGCTGCGAATTTAATTAATTTACACTAGTCTAATAGGGGCACATGTGTAGATGCTTACTGCACAGTTAATTAGTGTACCGCGCAGTAAACATCTCGTTTAGACATGCTCACTGTTTCTAAAAACAAACAAACAAAAGAAAACCCACCTACTGCCATTTAATTTTTTTAAACAAATACAGGCTCCAAGATTTGCATCACTCCACATAGTTTTCAAGTTTTGGATTTCATCAGTATAGGAGATACAAAGGGGTTTGTGTGTTTTATTTAGAAATAAATAAATGTGAAAACCTACAGATTATGGTGCAGATCTAGAGCTTAATTTGATATTGTGCAAAAATATCAGCAAAACTGTTCTCTCTCTCTCTCTCTCTCGCTCACATATACAAAAATATAAAAATAAGGAGAGCTGTAAGCAAACAAGTCTTGAGTGTACCCCTTATCACTGTGCAAGCTGCATGGGCTGCAATGTCCTGGTTGAAAAGAAAACCAGCCACTCGCACTCACACGTGTGTGTAGATATAAACATATTTTGTTGGTCTTGTAATGCATATTCTTCCAGCAGCCCCTGTTTCTTACACTTACATCAGTAATTCGCAGCCAGAGTGCTGATGCACCCTGGGTTGCTTTGATATTCCTTCAAAGGTGCTACAGGGTGCCATGCAGACAGTGTTAACACTGTTAGGTGTGCAAACATGGTTCACAAGATAAGCCCAGAGATTTCAGATAGAAATGCATAGCCTTATAATTAGTCTGATCTGTTATGGTTTTTCTGAGTTCTTTGCACTAGAAAAACTGTTCTATTAGTTGTCAATAGTTTTTTGACTAAGGAAAAATAAGAGCTGGCATTTTCTAATGGGTGCCTTGAGTCTTAATAAGATGGAGAATCGCTGCCTATGTGACATCTTATACCCAGCGCTTGTTTCCTCCTACTCCTCCCTGGTTTTGTTTCCTTTGTTTCTCGGATCATTGCTCCTTACTGTTCCCTTTCTTCCCCCCACCCCTCACCAACCCACTCTGCTTTGAGCTTTCATTTCTGCTTTTCTTTTTGTGGACAGGCCTCCCACTTGTCTGGCAAGACAGCTTGCATAACAGACAAGTGCCATATCTGCTTTCCATATACTCTAACTCTTCATCTGATTCTTTCTCGTAACCCATTTCTAGGAATTTTTCTCATCTGCTTCTCAAAGCTAGTAATCTCTCTGCTCCCTCTTGCAACTGAACCTTAGCTGAACTATTGTGTCCTGTTGTGTTTTGTCTCCCTGTACATTGCCTAACTTTAAATTTATAAACGTTATGAGTCAGGGAACAGATCTTTATTTTTAGTGTAAAATGGCACATAGTGATATGTTTCCCTATGTATCCTTTGGTTAGCCTGTAAGGTGCAGATATGTTACTTCAGAACTAACATAGCTAATCGTAGGTAGCATAGTTATAATGAATATTAAGAGATGATTTAAAAGTTGCCAAAAGTTATTATTTTATGATGATGCATCTTTTTGAAAGAGGAGCATACATGCATTGTACATTTTGATATGCTTGTGTTTACAAAAGGCTTCATATTTATTTTTAAGTGATTCATATTTATTACATTATTGTGGAATGATCCAAGATATTACACGTGAGTCATTTTTTAATATAAGAACAAATGAATACATATTCATACAAAGTTAAATACTTGCAGTGTAACTTAAATTGTCTCTGAGTAACGTAATGCACAAAAAGCTCTCTTTGACTCGGCTCACTTTGACTTAAAACTCATACCACTGGCTATTGGGATGTGCTACCCTCAAAACAAGCTCCTGAAGCCAGTGTACTTGTTAAGTTCTTGACACTTGTGGCTAATTTCTCATACTGTTTTTTCCTGGTGCATATTTTCAGTAGCACTAACCTTGGGGAAAGCCTAGTTCCTCATGTGAGAGGGGATTCTCTCCTTTTTTTAAGATAAATACCTCGTTTTAAGCCAGCCTAGGTGAATGAGTGATGGGACTTGGTGGGATGATTGTAGGCAATAAGGGACTATCTACACGTTACACTTACGGCATGATTAACCAGTTAATCAGGACCCCTCCCACTCCACAGGCTTCCCCTGCCTGTCCAGACAGCAAGCCCGGTTACCCGGGCGGTGCACATGGAGCCTGGACACAGCAGCCTCTGCAGTGAGCAGAGCTCTCCTGGCCCCATGCACATTGGGACACACAGCTATTGGTGTGCACTGGGTGGCCCATGCACTGGGTAGCCGGGGCTGGGGAGCACATGTCCATCATTTTAGCCCCCCGCCCTCCAGCAAAAATAAAAGTTGGCACTTATGGGGTGTATCAAGGATCAGAACTTTAAAGAGACCTTGTCAGATTAAAGACTTAGACTAAAATAGTTTTATACTAGTATATTGTAAACAGGTTGTGAGAACTAAAGGAATTTGAAAATACACTGCCTCTCTCCCACCCCCCTTCTTTTTATCCTCTTTGTTCAGGTTGGAGAGTAGAAGCAGCACGTAATTTAGTTCCATGCTTTGATTCTCCTTCAATGTTAGGGTTGCAGATAGTACCTATGAACATTTACAACCAAACAAAAATAATGCTTTGATTATATGTTTAACCATATTTTATGAAAATACATCATCTTTGTTTAAGGTAAATCTTCTTAACTCATACTTTATTTTGAGTTACCATACCTTGTAGATGGCTGCAGCGAGAGAACTCCATGGGGAGAAAATGGCACGTTGGTGTGACAAATATAGGATTATCCCCTATGTTAGTTTAATAATAATGTTTGTACAAACAAACTTCCAAATCACAACCGTACAAGGGCCCAAATAGTTGATATTTAGGCCAAGGCTTCTCATTACATGCCGCTGGGACCTGGAGCTCATTTGGAAAGGTTTTTTGCTGAAGGAAAACTCCCCTCTTTCCCTCTCCCCTGAAAAAGAAGGGGAGGGGAAAAAAAAATATTTTTCTGCCCAGCTATACACCTGGACCCTGCTTTTGTCAGGGGCTCTGTCTTTTGGGAAGTCCCAGTAAACACTGTTTCATG